GCTTTGTGGTAGTACAACTATCTCAGCATTGTCCAATCAGAATAAGCTTTGTGGTAGTACAAGAAACTATCTCAGCATTGTCCAATAAGAATAAGCTTTGTGGTAGTACAAGAAACTATCTCAGCATTGTCCAATCAGAATATGCTATGTGGTAGTACAAGAAACTATCTCAGCATTGTCCAATAAGAATAAGCTTTGTGGTAGTACAAGAAACTATCTCAGCATTGTCCAATCAGAATAAGCTTTGTGGTAGTACAAGAAACTATCTCAGCATTGTCCAATAAGAATAAGCTTTGTGGTAGTACAAGAAACTATCTCAGCATTGTCCAATCAGAATAAGCTTTGTGGTGGTACAAGAAACTATCTCAGCATTGTCCAATAAGAATAAGCTTTGTCGTAGTACAAGAAACTATCTCAGCATTGTCCAATAAGAATAAGCTTTGTGGAAGTACAAGAAACTATCTCAGCATTGTCCAATTAGAATAAACAGTCTTGAATATGTATTGAAGTTTAGCACAATTTATATTTTCAAATAAATTATGTGCTGGTGTTATTTTACTTATTATGCAATGTTTTATGACAATGTGTGTCTAATACTGACTTTGTAGGCAACAATGGATTTCATTATCATATTAACAATGTCTACATAAGCATTGTAATCCTTCAATAAAACTATGTCAGATTTTTAATTAAACTATTTAAACACTTTACTAGTACCGGTGTTGCTATACATGTAAGTCTATTCTGATGTCCATGATATCAGTGGACACAAATTTGTGAGTTTATCAATTGTTTTCTGATAAACTCATAAAATAAACAACACTCTACTTTATTTTCTCTAATACAAGTGCACGTCTGCTTGTATATTCTGAGCTAACATTGATAGTGTGTTTATCTAATTAACATTCATTTGTTGTCATGCTACTAAACCTTTCAAATAACAACTGAATGTAAGGTTTTAATCTACAATAAGTATATCTTATAATATAAAATATTTTTCAGAATACTGTTATATAACAACTTCATTACATCACTACTTTTAATAGTTCATATCTCTTGTAACAGTAAATCATTGACACACTACAATAGATGATTCTATTATTAACACACTACAATATATGATTCTATCATTTACACACTGTAATATATGGTTCTATTATTAACACACTACAATACGTGATTCTATCATTGACACTACAATAGATGATTCCATCATTGACACTACAATACATAATTTCTATCATTGACATACTACAATATATGATTCTATCATTAACACACTACAATATATGATTCTATCATTTACACACTGTAATATATGGTTCTATTATTAACACACTACAATACGTGATTCTATCATTGACACTACAATAGATGATTCCATCATTAACATACTACAATATATGATTCTATCATTGACACACTGTAATATATGGTTCTATTATTAACACACTACAATACGTGATTCTATCATTGACACTACAATAGATGATTCCATCATTAACACACTACAATATATGATTCTATCATTGACACACTACAATATATGATTCCATCATTGACACACTACAATATATGATTCTATCATTGACACACTACAATATATGATTATATCATTGACACACTATAATATATGATTCTATCATTGACACACTATAATATATGATTCCATCATTGACACACTACAATATATGATTCCATCATTGACACACTACAATATATGATTCTATCATTGACACACTACAATATATGATTCCATCATTGACACACTACAATATATGATTCCATCATCAACACACTATTATATGATTCTATCATTGACACACTACAATATATGATTCTATCATTGACACACTATATTATATGATTCTATCATTGACATACTACATACAATGGGTGACTGTAAGGGAAAAAACCATCGCTATCATGCAATTTCCCATTGAGCTAGATGGTAATCCCCTGTCGTAGTCAAACAATGTGCATGTTTTTGTTTCTTAGTAGTGTTTTATATTATGTAATACATAGTGATATGTTTTTTTTATGTCCCTTTTTTGCATGTTTGCATGACCCATCCCTTGCCCTGTGTTATTGTCTTGTAGGAAGAATCGGACATAGTCAAGATTACGGTAATTAGGCTTGCCATTAGTTCAGGTTTATATTGATGTAAACTAAACCTCACAACTTTCATTTGCACTTGCTTTATTTGCTAACATTAAGAAAACACCAATTGCTTCTATTGGTACACTCTGACAAGGCATTTGTCTTTATGGCAAGATTATGTTGTTTTGTAGATTATCAAATTCACATAACATGTAAAACCAGACTGTACCAATAGACTTACTCTACTGTTCTAAACTTGTTTCTCTTGAAGAAAACCATCTTTTTTTTTGCCTTGCCAAGCCATAAACTGAATTTATCTCTTCCAGGCACCATATGTCTTTTTTCCCAATAAGGAATGTTACAGACAGTGTGTGTTCTAAGACCAGTAAACATAGTAACATATCATTCTGTCTGTGAGATTTCTTGGAAGGAGATGTCTTTTTTAATTTTCTATTTGGGTTGTATGTAATATGCTAAGTATATACGAGTGGAATTACTTTATACTTCACTTCAACCACTTGATCAGATTCTGATGATAACAGCATACTTCTACACAATTCTGCTTTTCTATCATTTCACTGATCTGTACATTACTACATGAATTCTTGTCTTTTATAATCAATGACTTGATTGATAAATCTTTTTATCACCATTGATACTTGATGAAACTGGTTTCATCTTGTCTTTCTCGATGAAACTGGTTTCATCTAGTCCAACTTTTTAAAATCTTGCCGTATCTGGTTTTATCTTGATGAAACTTGTTTTATCTGGTAACACTTTTTCAAACTTGTGGCATCTTGTTCTACTTTGATGAAACTTGCCACATCTGGTATCACATTGTAAACATTTAACATATCTGGTTCCACTTTTGTAAAACTAGCCTTATTCGGTTCACCTTGATGAAACTGCTTTCATCTGATAACATATTTTCTTATTTGTGGCATTTGGTTCACCTTAATGAAACTAGTACCACTTTCAGAAATTATGCCACATCTTGGAACCGCTTACATAAAACTTGCCACATCTGATACGACTTGTCAAATTTGTTTCCTGAAACCTGCCTCAGTTGGTTATAGCCTAATAAATTTGCATGATTATTATCTAGCTGCATTTTTTTCTAAAACACTCTCGTCTTGCAGCAATAAAGTTGACTTTCTAAATTACTGTTATGATTCATAAATATTTGTAACAAACCAAATTGTGTTATGTTATTATTCACTTAGATTTATCCATGTGAATTGGAACAAGTTCCTGAATTCAATGGATTCAAAGAGTGGCTTCATACATTTGAGTTGTATCGTGGTAAGAATACAGGAGAGGGTGCAGAAGATAATGAAAGCAGAGTGGTTGGAAAATTCAAGGTAATTTTGTTCTGAAATTTTATATTGAATAATATAACAGTTTGGTGCTAACATGTAATTTATAATATTTTCTCTTTCTTTATTATTTCAATATTATTATTATACATTTGTACTTTGTTATACTTTTATTGCTACTGTACTGATAGAAAAACTGTATTTCTAAAGGTGCAATAAATATTATTACATGTATTATTATGTAATAATGCACGTTGTTATGGCAACTATTTTCTATTCTAGGGTTCGTTGATGGTTTACAAGTGGCCATTACCAGAAAACATTGAGGATTCTACGCCATTTGGTGCAGATCCCATGTTTGGTTTCTTTTCCGGGTTACCTAGCAACGATCCCATTCATGTCATGGTTCGTGTTTACATTGTGAAATCTACAGATCTTCATCCGGCTGATCTGAATGGCAAAGTATGTATATATGGTTGTTACACATTTCAACTTGCATTAGCACACAATACAGCATTGTTTGTTCACTGCAAGGTCCTGTGTTATGTGTAAAATTGAACATAAAAATAGAACAAACAAAGATCATAGCATCTCAGTGATGGCAAAACATCATGTAAGATTCAACAATGCAAATGTATTTTGAGGATATTTTCTCACTTAATAATGTGCTATACACATTTGGTGCTACTTTCTCCAGCATAGCTACAGTGGTTTAATTATCTTATTACAGTACAGTTCAAGTTTAAATTTCATGCAGGTTTTTAGGTAGCTTTGCTTTTCCACAAAAGATTACAATTTTAAAATATTATATCATCAATAATTTCAACTTGATCTTTGTAGTATTTTCCTAAGTCACTAATGTGAGACATATTTGATAGATTATTTTGCATAATTTAGATGTAGCGTAATTTTCAAGTAAGCTATACAAGGTTTAACCTATTCACCAGTTCCCTCTTTTCGTAACAAATTCACAAAATAGTCCTGTTTATAGGCTGCACTTTCCGTCAGAAGATTGGAACAAAAATAGTCACATTTTTGGAGTCAAAACAGAAAAATGACTCAAATTTTGTCTGTTGGCTTCAAAATTAGGACTCATTTCCAGAAATATTGAAGAATATAAAAAATAGGTGCAGAAAAATTTGGATGAGAAAGTTTGGTGGTGAAAAATTGAAAAATTTTGCTGGCAAAACGTTGGACTGTGCTATATTTCCCATTGGTATAGAGTGTTGCTATTTCATCCCTCAATCCTCAAATTTGATGTCATGAATTGTATAAATTCATGCATGCATGATTTCAATGTTATTTCTGATGTAATCCTAGTTGATGTGCCCTTATATTATCCGCCTTTGATGAACTACCAACAAGTCATGTATGAATATTCTAATGATGTGTTTTTTTAGGCTGATCCATATTTGAAAATACTTCTTGGTCGTCATATAGTGAATGATAAAGAAAACTATATATCTAAACAACTTAACCCTGTATTTGGCAAGTAAGTACAATCACACTTAAAATACACTTATCATACTGTTTGCATATATTGGATGGACTAGATACATTTAGTTTCTTTTAGTTATATTTAGTTATTTTCATTACATTTATATTTTGTTATAATTAGTTACTTTTAGTTTGAGTGTATTTACATGTAGTTGATTCTAGTTGTATTTAGTTATTTAGTCCCCGTTCGGACGGGAAAACGGGGACTTATAATTCGGTCTCCATGTGTCCGTGCGTCCGTGCGGAGTCATATCTCAGAATCCCTTGGGCCGATTCCGTTCATTCTTTGCATGTGCCTAGTACTTTATGTGGGACATATGCACATGCAGTGGTTTAGCGATTCGATTCAAAATGGCCAACTGGCAGCCATCTTGTTTTTTGAAAATGTTGTATTTTGGACATGCTTTGTCAGTTGTCATTCAAACTTGGTACATAGATTATACATGTTCGGATACATGTTTATGACGATTTATTTCGCAATTGGATCAAAGATGGTCGACTGGCAGGCATCTTGTTTTTGTTTTTTTATGCGGTATCTTGGACGTGCTCTGTCAGTTTTCATTCAAATTTGGCACATACATGTACTTTTACATGTTAGGATGCATGTCCATGACAATTTGTTTGAAAATCTGGTCAAGAATGGCCGATTGACAGCCATCTGACTTTTTGGCCTTTCTACTATATTTCCACAATTTATGTACCATTTTCATTCGTATTTGGCACATACATCATACATATCAGTGTGTTTCATAATCAGATCAAAGATGGCTGAATAACGGCTGTTTTTATTTTGGCCATATTACTACTACAAGGAACACACGTTTTGATGTAAATAAACAATCTGTTGTATACGCCACGATGATTTGGTCGATAATGTTGAATTATACTGGTAGGTAGAACAAAAACTAGTGTGGCAAAAATAATCAAACGATTTTTTCAAAAAAATTCAAAAGTATACAAGACTCAAATCTGAAATGGGGAAAGTTGATTAGCAAGCAGAACTCTTGAGACGGGGCATTTCTGGTACTGACTCCTGTTAGGCCAGATGTTCAAGTTACCGATATTATAAATTTATCTGCATTTCTAAACGTTTAGTTTAGCCAGTTTCCATGATGATAATATTTTTCTATTATATAAAGTGGGATGCTTTGAAGATTGCTGAGCAGTAAAAAAAACTGCCTTACCTAATTGTATACTTTAATTGTAATATTTCAGATGTTTTGAGTTTGAGTGTACATTTCCACAAGAGTCTATGCTAACAGTACAAGTTTTTGATTGGGATCTTGTGGGAGTAGACGATCTGATTGGTGAAACTAAGATAGATCTTGAGAATAGATATTACAGTCGACATAGAGCAGTGTGTGGTATTTCAGAGGAGTATGCAATGTAAGTATCTGGTAACTATGGCAATTTAGTATCTGGTAACTATGGCAATGTAGTATCTGGTAACTATGGCAATGTTGTATTGTTAAAATGATATACTGTAAGGTACTTTATTGACTCCCATGTGCGAAGCACAAAATGGGAGTTTTTGCGGTTAGTGTGTCTGTATGTATGTGTGTGTGTATGTGTGTCCGTCTGTTCCACTGATATCTCAAGAACCGTACATTAGTTTTTAATGAAACTTGGTGCATATATGCTCTGGGCCAATGCGCAGATTTGATTAGGTTTTGGTAAAATGCCATGCATATTAATTACCTAATTTGCATGATAGTTAGCTGATTTTTAGCTGTACCATGACTGTTCCACTGATATCTAAAGAACCACTCATTGGATTTTGATGAAACTTGGTATATAGATGCTCTGAACTTGTGCGCAGATTTGATTAGTTTTTGGTAAAAATCCATATATATTAATTACCTAATTTGCATGATAATTAGCTAATTTTTAGCTGTTTTATGACTGTTCTACTGATATCTAAACACCACTCATTGGATTTCGACGAAACTTGGTACATAGGTGCTCTAAACTAATGCTTGGTTTTGATCAGTTTTTGGTAAGAATAACCTAATTACTAATTACCTAATTTGCATAATGATTAGTCAATTTTCGTTTTATCCACTGATATCTCAAGTACTAATCATCACATTTCAATGAAACTTGGTACATAGATGTCATAGGACACTGCACAGACCTGCACAGACCTGTTTTTAGGGTAATATCAGTGCATATTAATTACCTAATTTGCATAATTAATTAATTTTCAACTTTTGATGTTTCAAGTAGTAAGCATTACATTTCAATGAAACTTGGTACATAGATCCTTTAGGACTATCCAGAGACCTGATTAGTTTTAGGGTAAATAATTGTGCATATTAATTTTCAGCTTTCACACTGATTTCTCAAGTACTAATCATCACATTTCAATGAAACTGTGTACATGGATGCTGTAGGACAATAGGTAGACCTGATTGTTTTTAGGGTTATATCAGTGCATATTAATTACCTAATTTGCATAATTAATTAATTTTCGGCTTTCACACTGATTTCTCAAGTACTAATCATCACATTTCAATGAAACTTTGTACATGGATGCTGTAGGACAATGGACAGACCTGGATAATTGTGGGTTAAAATCTGTACGTATTAATTAATAATTTGCATATTTAACAACTTTTAAGCTATCACACTGATATCTGAAGTACTAATTATTCCATTTGATGAATCTTAGTACAAAGATGCTCTAGGACAATGTACAAACCTGATTAGTTTGGGGTGAAAATCTGTTTATATTAATTCCCTAATTAGCATAATAATTCATAATTTTTTTTGGTTCCAATCACATTTCAATAAAACTTGGTACATAGATGGTCTGTTACATTGCGCAGACCTCATTAGTTTTACATTCAAATCTGTTCATATTAATTTTCTGATTTGCATTATTAGTTTTCAGCTTTTCCATCACTATCTCAATCAAGCACAAGTAATTTCGAATTATTATTAATGTGTCTCCAATACTCTCAGCACATGGGAGTTCTTTCTAAACTTTCTTTGATTTTCACTTGGAATTAATTTTCATTGAAGAAATGATTCAGTGATAATAAAATCCAGTTAATATACCTTTTTTAGCTTCGCTGTCGACTTTGTCGAGCGGAGCTTATCATATGAGTGATTGTCCGTCGTCGTCCGTCCGTCGTCTGTCGTCCGTCGTCCGTGTCAATGTTTTACTTTT